TAAGACTCACAAACCCATGGGATTCAGGAAATAGACGTAAATACTTACAATGATGTGAATTGCTTGTTTTTCAATCCGTGTATTAGAATCCTACCATTAATATTATTGTGATTAAATGGTTCTTAAACAACACTTTTGGTTGATAATTGTCAATTAATAAATAAAAGAAAATTATAAAGTGTGGTTTTGTAACTGAAAATGGAAGGAAAAGTTTTGCTATTGCATTAAAAACTTTATTTGAAATTATATATATATATATATATAATTTTATTTGTTAAAAAAAAAAAATGAAGAAGCTAATTTTTATTGGAATAATTAAGGTTTTATTAAAATCTTAAGGAAAACATGAATATAACGGTTGAGCTAAGCAACTAAAGGAAAAGATAAAGGGTCAAATATATTCTGGTAATTTCTTTAGGCGAGAAAAGGTTGGAGGTTTTATTAAATAGGTAAAATTAAATGCTAAGCCAATAATTATACACATAATATATAGTTATTATTAGAATTAATAATTATATTATACATTGAGCGATATATGAAAGCTACATAATCATACACAATTATATTGTATACTTTTTTTTCAAGTTATTTTTTTTTTCTAAAATCATATTATATATTTTTTATTTGATTAAGAGATTATTTTATAAATAAATAAATTTATTTTAATGTCATAGTAAAATCCTTAACATCGCATAAGTAATTATAATAAATTTAATATTTTTCAGCAAATTAATTGGTCATGATCTCTAAAAATTACAAGTATTGCATTATTTATTACATTCTATTCCATCAATATAGTGATTCATATGCAATCAAATAGTTACATACTATTTATTTTAACCAATGATCGAATTTTAAAAAATAATCCATTGTCTAATTTGTAGTTTTAATATTATATGCATAAATATAACTTACAATACTCTATGCTTAAAATTTAATATTCTTATCTAACTTATAATTTTAATATTAATACACATATAAATAACTCATAATAATTTAATTATATATGACAAATATCGAATACTAGTACAAACTAAATTTTTTTCCTGTATTTTTTTTTAAAAAAAAAAAATCAAAATTGAGGTGCATTCTTTTTCACCATAGGGCCTAGGCTTGCCCTACTGAACTAGATGGGCATATGTATGTATGTATGTGTCTCATCTGTTCTTGAAGACTTGAACTCCTGCAAAGTGTTCGAAAAAGTTCGCTAATTCTCAGCTAAGTTATTTGGCTATTTAGGTCTTCCGTTGAATCTCAGATTCTCAAGGGGAAATGGGAATCCTATCGACGTTATTCGAGTTCTTGTCGATCTCTGCTTCAGTTTTTGTTTTGGGATTGTTGGCGGCCATTGTTATGGCCGCCTACAGAAGAAAGTATTGTTACAGGTACGATCCGCAGCCTATCAGTCTCTGGTTTTGGCCCTTTTTACCATTCTCAATTTGAGGTTCCTTTGCTTTACCTTTTTAGCTGTCAGGCTGAATCAACTCCTGTTATAGAGGATCCGACATTGAAGCCGGTATGTGTCTCGATTCTTTTTTGTGGAGATTTCGATACGTTATCTCTCGTTCCTTCTATTAATGCGTTGTGCTGTTCAATTTACTGTTTTCTTGATGCGTGTTGTGTAAAAAGGTAGAGTCTTGATGGTAATGTAGCACACCCCTTACTTTAATGATTACATAATTCTCATTTTGATAGTTAGTTCTACTGCAAGCTTCTTTAGAGAAGAGGTGAACTGTTTAATTGAAATTCCTAATAGAATTGGAAGTCGACTAGTTAGATGTGGAATTGGTGCGATGTTGGTGCTCCTTGTGGTTTTGTTGACTGCATTAATGTTTAAGTGGGTTGATCTGGTGAACTTGTATATTCCAGGTTGTTTGTCCTCATATTCGTGATCCTGCTGAAAAATACATATCTTTGATCATTCCAGCATACAACGAGGAGCATAGACTTCCAGGGGCCCTTGACGAAACCTTGAAGTAAGCATCTTCAACCTGCTATATTTTGTTGCGCTTTTTTTTTTTTTTTTT